ACAATATATTACAACTATATTACAAAAACTAAATATCTATATTACAAATATTTTATAATGAAATACAACTATATTACAAATCCGCTCGCGGGAAAAATGAAAGATATATAGATATAAATCAAATATTCTGTTTGCAATGATTCCCATCATAACAATTCAATGTTGTATGGTGTGATATTTTTTGCATATTCAATATTGTCATTGAGGCCCGGTAGCGCCATTACGGTTAATTTTTGTAGTTTTAATAACGAAGAAACAATTCAATAATGATTTTAATACATATCTATAATATTTATATTTTAAGGTTTTTATAAAATATCAATATTAGTTATTTCGAAACACTTTATTTATTTGAATAAATTTCAGAATTTCTTTATATTTTAATAATATACTATCATTCTATAAAATATGCATTTTATGTAAAAAATCTGTATTAATTGTATAAAAAATCTATATTAATTGTGTATTAATATATTTGTATTGTATTTTTCAATCGAAAATTAATATATCTTTATTATGAGGTTGAGACATCGCCATTGTGGATTACAAATACATTAAAAAATCAAATAAACATATAAAATATAAATTTCCCAATGTTTTTGAATTATTTTTAAGCTCTTTATCTTCGTTATTTAAATATCACTCAATATCTATATTTATATCAATATATATATATACATATATTTTATTCATAAAATATGTATATATATTTTAAATAAACATTTTTCATTTCAATAATACCTAATAACTTTATCATACCTTTCATCACTAACACTTTCATATAATTATTTTAAAATAGATAGATAAATAATTAATCATTTCATTATTTATATATCAAAAATTACATGTATTAAAGGTATATTATAATAGAATATAATTACATTACAATTACACAAAATATATATAACAGGTGTATTTTAATAAATACAACTATATGATAGGTAGAATACAAATATGTTATATGAATATTTCAATCGTCATACAATTATATTACAAATATAATACAACTCTATTACATATATATTACATTATAAGAAAAATTCATATTACAATCAGAATACATGTATATTACAATAAAAAACAATTATTTTATACGTATAATACAGGTATATTACAATAACATACAATTATTTGATATACATATACCTATATTACAAATATTTTTAAACAAAATACATCTGTAAACCAATTATAATACAATTTTTCAAGCATATTACAATATAATACAACCAGATATAATACAGATATATAATAGACATATTACAATAAGATATAATTATATTAATATAAAACATTCACAATAAAATACAACTATAGAATAGGTATATTACATACATTTTTCAAATATATTTCAATAAAATATAGTTATATTACAGATATAACACATGTATATTATATGTATGTTGCAATAAACTACAATTATATTATAAATATAATATACATATTATATTATTTAACCAAACTAAATATATTATAGATATATTTCAATAACATATAACTATATTAAAAATCATATTATCGTAAAATACAAACTAAAATATAGGCATAATACATATATATAACAAAATATTACAACCATATTACAAACACTAATTTAAAAAATATTACAACTATTTCATAACAATATACAAATATATTTAAATATAAAACAAACATATTAAACATATTTTACAATAAAATTCAATTATATCACAAACATAATGCAATTAATCATATGTTTTGAATAGATACAATTATATTACAAATATGTTTAAATAAAACACAACTTTGTTACACATATAATATATATAGTGCAAATATATTACAATAAAATACAATTATATTACAAATATAATACAAATATATTGTAATAAACTAAAATTGTATTATAAACATTTTACAAATATAACAATCATATTACAAATGCATTACCATAAAATATAATAGTAATATACATATAACATAAATAAATTATAAACATTTTACAATAATTTACAATTACATTAAAAATATCATACATATATATTAAAGTACATTACATTTTTCTTAAAAATATGATTCATATATATATATATTACAAATATTTTACAATTAAATACATATATATCCTAAATACAATATAAATATTTTACTATTAATTTAAAACAAATTACAACTATATTATTAACATTAAACACATATATTTGAAATAGTTTACAATAAAACAAAATTATATTATTTACTATTAAAATTGTGTTTTATGCATAATACAAATATATTTCAATAATTTATACTAGAATATACTTATATTATATATATATATTGCAAAAATATTCTAAAATATATAAATAAACATTATATATATTAACAATATTTTACAATTAAAAACGTTTATATACATGTATATTTACCTTTCGTAATTTATATTACAACTATAATACAAAAATAATCTATAACAAATAACTATATGTCAAATATATAATATTACAAAGACATGTTATCTTTTTACACAACCAGCTTACGAACAACCAACTTACGATCTATTGCATCGAAGGCCTTTTCAAGATCCAACGAAACCTGTATGCCTCCCCACAGTCCCGAGTCTCTGGTGTGCTGGTGACACAGAGCTTGAACCGTCCGACAATGATCAGAGACCAGAAGAAGGCAGTCCTTGGTGCCACGGTGCGGGAGATAGGCGAACAGGGGCATGGTACGAAGTTGGTCGAAAGCACAGTACACGATCTGGGAGCAATGGATTCCAATCAAGACTTTGTTGATGGGATGCTGAAGACATATCGGTCGAAGTGCAGCAGGCTTATTAGGTGGTTTATTGGATTTACTGAGCATATGAAGCCATCCAGTGGACCAGTGTTCTGGCGGGGAGCCAGTAGAGTCAACCCATGAATAAGATGCAATTTGATGTAAAATCGGTGCAAGGTCACTAGCAAAATGCCGCCAGACTTCGGCCGGAAAACCATCTGGGGCTAATGCTTTGGGGTTGGGCAATCGACTGAGACCTTGTTCAAGATCTGCCTGAATGAACGGAAGGCGATGCAGGGATTGAGGTGCCAAGTCAAAGGTGTCATCTCGAAACAGGTGGCTGAAGTGAGCAAAGAGTGAATCAAATTCCTAACGCGGGGTCATGGGTGCACCATGAGAATCATGCATCTGGATCCTACGAAATGGTTGTTTCGGACAAAATTTACGAATGTTCCGATACCATTCATGGATCTTATTGGTCATGACATTCACAGCATTATCTTGTAGGAAATTCTTGAGCTTTCTACGTTTGTTGATTCGATTGAAGGTCCTGATCTGTGCATGCAACTTGGGGAAAGAGAGTTTTAATAGACATCAAAAAGACAAGGCGAAGCTGATCATCTGAGTGTTTGACAACATGTGCAGGCGGAAAAAGATTAAAACATAATTGTCGAATCTGTTGTTCCTGCCAAGGCAATTCTGAATAGGGTCTGGCAATGGTGTAGACTGATGGTTGAGGATACAACTGCGAACAGCTTGCTCAAACTGGAGCCGTCTAGGTGTGGCATCCATCATTTCCTGCCGTAATCGAAAGCGGTCAATGGATTGAACCTAAGTGGAAGGTGTTCGAACAGCATGCCACCGGGAAGGTGAAGTGTGAGAGGTCTATATTGCGGACCTTGATGTATGTCTATTCTCTCAAACTTGCTGTCAACCTAAGCTCGAAGATGTTTCCATCGTGTCTGAAAGGTACGAAGGAAAATGAAATCAATCCGTGATTGATGATAGCCATGGATGAAAATTTGGATATATTTCTGATGACAATGGACCGCAATTAAAGACAAATCTTGTATAAGCTGCTAAAACATCTATTTGTCAATTAGAAGAATTTTATTGTAGCGTGGATCCGGACTATATGAAACTATATGAAATCATCTGCTAAAATAAGCATGTGGCTGTTTAGGACATGCTGTACCCCATGTGCGAGGTGGTACCACAAATCCCGCCTAGCTTGGAGAAATCCACGAACAAGACGTGTTCCGTCTAATATACTACATACAATCGTGAATCGGAATAAACATCAATCTAATGGGGAATGACCTGCCAGGAATGATATCGTAATAGGTCAAGAACCACCAGAAAAGCCGAAGGCATTGGCCTAGCATTAACCATCCTACTACCCATATCAATATTCCAACATAATCATTCCTAATATATCAAACCTCTAGAGGCATTCCAAAATAATAATTTAAATATAATAATTTATGGTCCACGATAGACTATAAAATAAAAAATAATTGTATTTGTTGCAACAATTTATTCCTCAATTTTATAATAATATCGAATCGATTGCCCATAGAAATCTTCCATAATAATATTTATGTGTTATTATCATAATCCATTTGCAAATTTTATATTTTATTATTATATCAAGAAAATTAATTTGTTTTTGTATAAATAATATTCTATATTTCCACCAATTCGAAAAAATCATAATAATTTCCAAATCAATCTCGAATCCTCGCCAAAAAAATCTAACGGAACCAAATCCCTCCAAAATAAAAATCGTAATTTGCCAAGATTTCAATTATAAATATCAATACAATAAACAATTAAAAATATTATAAAATCATATCAATATCAAATATACACCATTTACTACAACAATATAATTCCCGGCCCATAACAAATAATTATAACTAAAATTAAACTAAAAATAACGTTCTTATATTTAATATATTATATTATATAGATAATATTATATATATCATTAATTCTATAATTTATTCAATTTTTATATATATTAATATCAATATATTTCAATATATTTCTTAAATATATTATTATATAATTATATAAATATATATATAATTATATATATATTTTTTTTAAAGAAAATCTATTATTCCAGAATTTAGGTTTATTTTTGTCCCTGCAGCAATATTCACGGATATCGATTGAATCTGTCTACATATAAATATCAACAAATTCTGCATATATTCTCTAGTGCAAATTGGGTACATTTTCGTACCCGGCTGATGTATCCTTTTCTATAAATTCAAGATGCTAATGTAAGTCTGGTTTCCCAATGGGTACAATGTTTGTTCTCCCAAACCCCAATGAACACCTGCAGGAAAACCTCACCTTGGCAGCTGCTTCCGCTGCCGCCGCCACAGCCGCCGCGGCGGCAGCACGACGCGCTTGGACGCCTCCTGCGGCCTTCATCGGTGACCCCCACTCCATTCCACTGCCGCTGTCAAACATTCTGTCGACGGTTCCTCAAGCAACATGCGTATTTGGTGGGGGTCAGTCGCCCTGTGTGTTTCTCCAAGCATTAGTTCTACAAGAATTCGATTCTCCATGATTATCCTTCACATGGGGCACTAAGCAGCTCTAGCCCATCTCCAATCTATTGGCCCATCGCCCAGGTGGCCAGCTACTGGGGCAACGGCAAAAGGTATTGATCCCAATACTATAGATCCATTTCAGAGAACCAAAGAACATCCACCGGCCGTATTGTTGAGTCAGCTGGAAAACACCCATTTCAAGCAATTGTCATTTTGGTGGCGCAATGACTAACCAAGTCTGAGACAACAAGTCTTGAACCTAATCAGAGAAAAAACAAACAACCCCCTGGAATGACCCAACATCTCAAAATCACAAGCTTTGGTCCCGAAAATGACAAAACTCTTGATGTGGGAAGAATCTTCGGCGTAGTGCCAAGCTGGAGTGAACAGGTGTCACATGCTTTTTTCCACGTCACCAAATGAGTTCGAAGGGATGACAAGTCGGACATCTTGCACTTGGACTCCCTTTCCCCTGATTTCCCCAATTCCCGAACCACCCCAACCTCGGTCTGGAGCTGCTTCACGACCTGGAGGACCAAGGAGCGAAGCAACGAAGCGGGAGCTAACCCAGCTAACCCTGAGCAGCGTGAAGGGTTTTAAGAACGATTTTTGAGTTGTACATGTAACCCTTACAAGTCCATATCAACCACCTTCTATTTGGTAACGGAAGTGGAGGACTGTGTGAGGAATGGTAAACCTAAGCTCCACATGCAGGCCTTAAAACCTTCGAAAGTTGCTTAATCTCGGTTGTAAATGTTCCGATGTTTTGACTTAGTTCGGTATTTACATGTATCTACTCTTTGGGCTTTTGGGCTTTGACTACAGTAGGTCATAGTCAATGCACCTACCGGGTCCGAGGCGGGTGCACCTACTGCCCTCCGCGACCTTCAATGCTATACCTCTCCTCCTCCTTCCTGCGGAATGGACGGTCAGACCTAGTCATCTTTCATGGTGCGAAGCCTCCTTTACCATGGCCAGGAAGGCCAGCATTCCTGTTGATCTTCATTCTCTTGTACTGACTTTCGTCACACACCTCTCCAGAAAGGTCCCTGGTGGTATGTGAAGGGAAATGCACTGTTTTGCTGGGCATTCCTTGCCCAGGTAGGATAGGAGAGTTTGTTCGGGAACGTGCCTATGGGCCTATAGAGGATATGAGAGGATACATCACTCCCCCACATCTGGAGGTAGCATCGTTTCGCATGTTGAAGCAGCTCGTTGCAAATATTTCTTGAGTGCAAATCTTGGTTTGAAGGGTAGAGGAAACCTACGGCGTAGTTGGTTTGGATCGGAAAAGAAGACACCACCCTTCGTACTCTATCCCCAGGATTCTACTGGTGGCTGGTGCAGAATGGAATGCCACAACCACCCAATGGCTTCAAGCAAAACATAGCAAAACCAACCAATCCCCAGTGAACATGTTCAAACATCTATATAGTTGACCAAACCTAAAAAAATCCAATTAAACTCATAGCGGCAAAAGCCTGGGTCGGACTCCCGCAATTGGAGGGAGCCACCACATGCCCGCACCTTCTGCAATTTCTCCTTCTGTTGAGACGTCATAGCCTCTTTGCCTGGTGAGCTTGAAGCCGCACATCAAACCAGCAACTCTCTATACACACAACTCACACAACTAGAGAAATCGTTTACACAAATAGAAAGGTTGCTAACAAAGCTGGTCTGTGCAACAGATTGCTCACAAAAAAGACATAGGGAAGGTCCGAAGGTGTGACCACAAATGGGCAAAAGGACTTCGAACCACACACACACAGTTATCGCACTGTTGACCTCGGGCTGCGAGATGTTGAGCCCCAAGGAGTTGTGAAGGCCAACCAGTCGGACAACACATCTGGGCCCAGGCCATTCGATCTCAAATCCACCCAGGAACACCTGCGATGGCCCTGGCGATGGCCCACTGCCCAAAAATGATTGAACACTCAATCAGGAATCCTCTCACATGTCCGAAACGCTTGGCAATCTCTTTGTAGGTCTGGCGAAGCAAAGGTGACTTTCCATCCCCCTGCCAATTAGGGTGGTGGGCCCCCCCATTCTGTCGTACAACAGACCTGGGGACCTAAACTCACAAATCTGCTTTTCAAATCATTTCAATACGTTTTGAAAGGACCCGGCCAAAATGCTTGGACCCAACATACATGATATCAATTATATCCGATTTTGAGTCACCGAAAAGGCTGCAGAATTTGTTCTAGATTATGGGTATACCCAACATAAGCTAGAAACATCTTCACATATCAAATCTGCACTACATAATGGGTCTTGCTAACAAAATGCGGTGCCTCAACCTCATTTTATGCAACATATTAAAACATATTACATAAAAGACTCAACGTAGTGGCCTCTAGACACCCCATTTCGTATAGGAAATCGGAACGGGGATGACTGTCCGACTTTCCCATAACCAAGAACCACCAGGTTCAAGCGACACACTGGCCCCGGCGAAGCGACGAAGCAACCGACTGATACGGAATGGATGGCTGTAGTTATGTAGGAATTCTGCAGGATCATCGGATGCATAGGGTCTCAAAACTCACAAATGAGTGATTCTGGGTGCTCTGGAAGGCTTGGTAGTTCTCGGTTACCTCAAGATGTGCCCGCTAGGCTGAACTGAGGACACATGTTTCCCTTTGCCACTGGTTTCTATAGCACCATCGCGAACCAAACCCGCGTAAGTTTAGCTCCAAAACTGCCAAAACCACCATGGAAACTGGGCGAGGGATGAAAACAAAAACAAAAATGAATCAAACAATATATGTATTTCAGGGATCAAACAAAAACAAAAACAAACCAAAAAATACACGCAGGGGGAAAAGTAATATTCCAATCGAAGCTGTGATCAAGAAACATCCAAAACGCATTTAAAAAAACAACCAGGAAACCACAGGAAATGAAATGACTTGAAATGGAATGAACATGAAATGAAAAAAACATGAACATGAATATGAACATTAAATGAAATGAAAAGAAATGAATGAACGAACGAACGAACGAATGAATGAACGAATGAATGGTTGAATGACTGAATGAACGAAAGAATGAATGAGTGAATGGAAAGTTTAATTTAATGAATGATTGAATGAATGAATGAATGAACGAACGAATGAACAAGTGAAGGACGGAATGAGTGAATAAAAGACAATACAAACAATACACAAATATAATAGATAAGTGAACAATAAAACCAATATATTGCTAAGTCACAAAAAAAGGAATGGCTAGTCTAGGAAACTTTACCCGAATCTATTCTATGCTGAAAAGTTAAAAGCGGGAGGGGGCGCAGCGCCTCCCAAGCAATGTAACTTGGTACGACCAAAAAACAGATATCATTGAGTTTCCCCGATGATTCTTCCTTTGATAACTGCAATGGTCTCTGCGCTGGGCATCTCGGCAAAGATTTGCAACATCGCATTTCAATTTCACAGTGGAATCCACAATGGTCAGGCTCTGGCTCTCTCAATTGTCGGTAGGTCACTGGGAAGAAAGCGCGCATGCAGTTCCCTTCCTTCCTTGCTTCGTTCCTTCCTTCCTCCCATTCTGCCTTCCTTCCTCTCTTCCTTGCTTCGTTCCTTCCTTCCTTTCTGCCTTTCGTCCTTTCTTTGTTTTTTTGTTGATGCATTGTTGTTTTTCTTTTCGAAAAAGAGCCAAACAATAGATATATTTCAGGTGATCCAGAAAAAACAAAAACGAATCAACAAGTAAACAAAAGCAGATCCAAACGTGCAGAGGGAAGAACAATTTTCCATTCGAAGCAGTGATCAAAGATTTAAACATGCGTCTCTAAAAACACACAGGAAATCAAGGGAAATGAAATGACATGACATGAAATGAACATGAAGTGAACATGACAATGAAAATGAAAAGATTACACCACCGTAGACCCCAAACAGGTGGGACAACAACGAAGCATTCCCAAGTCCACTTTTTGAGACATCAACAAAAAGGGAGACGAGAAGGGAGACAAAAGGAAACGGAAGGGAGACAAGATGGACGCAATGGCTAACAAGAAGGAAGACAAGAAGGGAGAAAAAAAGGAAACAGAAGGGAGAGAAGACGGACACAGTGACCAACAAGAAGGGAGACAAGACCGGAGACAAGACGGACACAGTGACAAACAAGAAGGGAGACAAGACCGGAGACAAGGGAGGCAGAAGGGAGACGAGGTGGACACAATGACCAACAAAAAGGGGGACAAGACGGGAGACAAAAGGAAACAGAAGGGAGACAAGGCGGACGCGATGACCCACTGCTGACCACAAGAAGGGAGACAAGACCGTAGACACAGGGAGACAAGAAGGAAGACAAGGTGGACACAATGACCAACAAGAAGGGGGACAACAAGGGAGACAAGAAGGGAGACAAAAGGAAACAGAAGGGAGACAAGACGGACACAGAGACCAACAAGAAGGGAGACAAGACCAGAGACAAAGCGAGACAGAAGGGAGACAAGGCGGACACAATGACCAACAAGAAGGGAGACAAGAATCCGGCAGCAAGGCGGACACTCTTAGAATGCATTGATGACCCCTAACAGTAACCTGTTTGGGGAAGTACAGAAACCAGCTGGAAGACAAACGATTAGAAATGCTGGAAAGGGGAAAAGGGCGGATGCGAGCAGTGCAGGCACCGAACCTGGGAAACAAAAGTAAATCACACGGGAGACAAATGAATAGAAATGCTGCATGGCCATCGGAAAGGGCGGACACCAGCAGTGACAGAAAGGGCGGACACATCTTAAGAAAGAATTGAGAAACCCTACGTAACGGTAAACTGTTTGGGGAATTAATAGAAATGTTGCATCGCCAGCAGACAAGGGCGGAGACAGACCTGGGAGACAAATGAATAGAAATGCTACATGGCCAGCGGAAAAGGGCGGACACCAGCAGTGACAGACCTGGGAGACAAATGAATAGAAATGT